CTCGGCGGCGTCGCCGGCGGCGTCAACAGCTTCCCGCCCCTCCTCCTCCCCATCCCTCCACTCGGCCCCCGAAACTCCTGATACTCCCCCTCGCTCGCACTCGCCCCACTGTCGTCCTCGACCAGATCCGCCGACAATGGCGGCGTGCTCCCCGGCGTCGCGGGGCGGTACGGGTACGCAGTCGACGTGTTGTTGCTGTACGCGCTCCCGCTCCCCGCGTGGTGGACCGGCACGTCCCCCGCCCTTCGCGCCAACGCCGCCAGCGCCATATACGCGCTGCTCTTCCTCCCATGCCCGCCCCCGCGCATCGTGATCCCTCTATCCCCCTCGCCCTCATATCCATACTCCCCAATAGGCAAAGTCGCGTATCGGGGCGACGGCGGCGGCAGCCCCACCGACGGCAGCACCGGCTCCGTCCGCGAGCGCATCCGCAGATGTCTTTGCTCCTGCTGGCGCTGCGGGCTCTGTGCGCGTGCCGGGCTCTCTTGGTGTTGCTGCCGTTGTTGTTGTTGCTGCTGCTGCTGCTGCAGGTGCCGACTAGCCCACGTCGGCGAGTGGGGCGACGTCCCCGCGGTCGCATGCGGCGAATTCGACGTATTCGCATAGGGTGAATTTGAGTTCGCATGCGGAGACGAATTCGAGTACTGATACGGCTGATAGCCCGCGTCCCACCGGGGCGACGCGGGCGCGGTGTGCCGCCGGGGGTTGGGCGGGGAGGGCTATACAAATTAGTCAGCATGTGATTTGAAGAACGGAAAAAGGAAGGGGAGAGAAGGGGGAAGGAGAGGAAATAGAATAGGCAAAGGGCGCGGCGTGTTGATACGAGTACGGCACACCCGTGTGTCCGACAGCGTTTACTCGCCCCCGCGATATCTGCGGGGGAGGCGTCCACATCTCCACCAGCTGCGAATCGTTGTCTCGTCGTCATCGACAGCCGGTCCGTCCTCTACACTAACAGCCCATCCGCGCGCTCGCTCGATGAGCCGGGGCCAGCACCGTGCACTCGTCCTTGAAGAATCGACGACCCCACCAGAAACGCGCACACGCACATAGAGCCACGTCCACGCCCATGCCCACGCACACATGCGCATGGCGTCCATCATGCGCGGTAAGTGAAGAAGAGAAAAATAAGGTAATGTAAGGGAAGGGAAGGGAAAGGCAAAGAACGCAAGGGGCGGGAGGAGGAGGGAACGGGATGAGGGTTAGGACGGAACGGTAGCGAGACGCTGCGGAGGGAAACCTCTCCACGCTTGCACACAGGAGCGCTCCATCCACAACCCACGACGAGGCGCACCGCGCACGCCAGCCCGCATCCACGACGCGCCAGAGAGACGGACGTCCACGCCGCATCCAACCCGCATATCCACGATCACGATCGAACACGATCGACACCACACGTCGATCTGGGGTGGATCGCCGCATCGTCGCGCCAGCGCCTCATCAAGCACGGCGCGCCTCCGTAGGGCGGCGTGCATAACACCGCGCGCGCGCACGACCTACCCCGCGCCCTGCGTGCCCCGTGACATCTGGAGAGGAGCGGGGAGCGGTCGTTGCCTATCGGTGCGCCATGCCCGGCCACAGGTACACCATGCCCATCGTAGACTAAGCCGCGGGGCGCACATGAGTGTGTACAGGCGGGGGGTGGGGGAGTACACAAACACGAAGGACGTCGCGCTTGTCACCGTGCACGACGCCGGCAGCGCATCATGACAGCGCACGCGCGCGCCGTCGCCAAAGTATCCCGGAAGACATCCGATCCGATCCGATCCGCCCCGTCGCCCAGCGGGGAGAAGGAAGACGTCGCCCAGAGGGAGAAGGAACGGACGAAGGGGATGAGGGGAAGGAAAATGGGCGTGGGGGAAGGTGGCGTCCAGCCTCATGCCAGGCACGCAGCACCCCACAACGACGACGACGGTCGGCGCCGCACCGTCCTGCCGCCTCCCACCACAACCACAACCACACCACACCACTTCTCCCCAGTCGTCCGTGCAGTCCAGCCCGCATCCACGGTACGGGGCGCTGCATAGAAAGGAATGGAGCAGCCACCCAGCGCCGGGTCTGCGTCCTCGCAGCGCACGCACACTCCACGCTACGGCAGATCGACGACGTCCCGGATCCACCTACGTCCACGCTGCCTCACGCGCGCACTCGATCACTTCGATCTGGGGTGGGGCAGGGTGGTGGTGCTGGCATGGAATGGAATGGGGCGCCATGGGCATGGGCTATGGCGCGGATTCCGCCGCATCACGCACGAGACGGGACTCCGCGCCAGGCGTCGCGTCATCTGGGGAAGAGCGAGCCGCCCATCGTCCCCGGCCGCAGGCACACTATGCCTATCGTCGGCTAACCCGCGGGGCGCACATATAGCTCGATGTGAGTGCATGCAGGCGGGGGCGGGGGCGGGGGCGGGGGCGGAATACACCAACAACACCCCCTACTTCCAGCGGGAGGAAAACCAGCCTTGTACACCGCGCGCGACCCCGCCGGCGGTAGCGCCGGCAGCGCATCATGACATCACGCCCTCGTCGCCAAGGGAAAGCACCGCCCCCTCGCCCGGAGAAGGAAGACGATCGCCAGAGGGAGCCGGGCCACATCGCCGGTGGTCTGGCGCGGCGTGGCAGCCCGTCGCCGACACCACACGACACCACATCTCGTCTCGTCTGTCCACGCTCGCCTCGTCTCTTCTCGCGAGGACGTCGCCACGTAGGCCGTCAGCGAGACATGCTTGCTTCCTCGGCCCATCACAGCGCCACCGCATCCCACAAGTGGCGCAAAAGGCCCCCACAACAAAAATGGCCGACCGCCTGCCCCCACCACAAAAAACGGCCGCATGAAGCGGACGTCCCATCCACAAACGCCCCCATACAACGAAGAAACCCAAAAAAAGGAAAGTACACCCCATAAGGAAGAAAAAAAACACAACACACCTGAACAAACTCGCAATCCCTACAATCATCCTCCTCCTCGTCGACCGTGCGGCGCCTTACAGGCGTACGCGGCGTGCGGGGGCTCTCTACGCGCGCGGGGATGGCCCGGCCCAGGGGCGTCCGTGTGCGTGGGCTTTCCGTCCGGGCTATACCAGCGCCTAGGGGCGTCCGTGTGCGGGGCTCGCCACCGAGCGGCGTCCGCGTACGTCCTTCGCCACCAAGCGGCGTCCGCACACGCGCGTCCGTCGCCCGCCTTGGCGTCGGCGCGATCACCGTGCGCGGGCTGCTTGGCGCGTTCGTGGGCGTGCGCGCGCCGTGCGTCGTCCAAGTCGAATTGGCCGCCGCTGAATGGGCGGGCGTGGGCGTTTGCGTGCGCGACACGGGGCTGCCGGGGGCTCTTGCAGTTGGCGAGTGTGGCGAATTAGGGGCGGGTGAGTGCGAAGAGGACGTCGCGAGGACGCGTGCGAGGCGCGCGCGGAGGGCGGCGTGGTGGCTGGAGGAAGAAGCTGATGATGACGAGGAGGATGTAGATGAGGCAGTGGAAGAGGAGGACAACGGAGAGGGCGACGAGGCCCGGAATCCCTCTGCGTCGCCGCCGTAGCACGCCGCGCCAGCCGCGGACGCTGCGCGCGGGCGGGTGCGGCTGGTAGCGCTCATGCGAGAAGCGGGGGAGTTGTGCGTCGAAGAAGAGCGCAGGGCGTCGCGCAGGAGCTGCTCTGAGCGCGGTGTGGGCACGGGCGACCTGGGAGACGAGCTAGAGCTGGCGGTGGTGGTGGTGACGGCTGTCGCGGGGAACAGGAGCGCGACGAGCCCGAGGCCGGCGCGCAGAGAGGCGGAGCGTTTGTGCCGAGCGGGCGTAGACGAGGACGAGCTGCGTGTGCTCGCTGGAGAGGGCGATGAATCCGATTTATTCAGCTCCAATTCCAAAGGCTCGTGCAGACTGGCGAGGCTGGGGATGGGCGAGAGCAACCCGAGCGACTGCGTGTGTCGGTGGCGCGCTAGGTAGTTGGGCATATATCGGTGTATCGGTGGTGTCGTGTGCGTATTCGTGAAAAAGTCGTACATTCGTATATGCGAGTACAGGAGGGGAAAGGGTGAATCCAAGAAAACCTGGTCAGCACACGACCAATGCTACGCACGACGAAATGACGAACCTGGCCTGCGAGTAGCGTCAACGAGCGCTTGTGCCATATTCTATTCCTGCGTATGTGGGTTTGTATAATGAATTCCTCGCAGCACACACGAGGCAGTCCCGTGTCCGTTCCGTGTGTCCCCTGCCTGTCGCCCGGCGGTCTGCTAGGAATCCAAGTTCCGTCCTTCCTATAGGTTCCTGAGCTTCCTATACGCTCCGAGGCTTCGAAACACGAAAATGCGAATATAGCGCAAAGCAGAGTAGATGGTGGTATAGTGGTAAGCAAAGTGGTGAAGTAATTTTTTTACGTCCGTCGTTACCAACCCCTCTTTTGCGGGGATATTCGGTCTCACTTCCCTTATTTGTCCGGTCTCACTTCCTTTGTTTTCATTTGCTTATTTGCTCGGGCTCACTTTCGGTGTCATTTGATTTGTCAGCGGTCGGCAAGCCAATCGGGTTACGCAGGGCGTAAGGCCGGGAACCGCCGAACGGGTTGCCATCAGCTGGGGTATTTGTTTGGTTTTTGTTCGTGTGATAATAATACACGGGATGACGCGGGAATGACGGCGCGCTGCGCTGCGGACGCCACGTACGTCCGAGTCGCGTCAGCGTGCCTAGGTTCATATTTGTTTTTTTTTATTTTGGAAGGACACCGGGACCGGCCTCATCATTGCCCGTACTTAACCGCGCGGATCACGCGTCCAGACAGATCGGAAGTGCGCACTTTACTAGTACAAACCTTCGGACCCCGGGCATAGCGCAGAATCCATGTATTATAAGTTATCAACATCGGGCGCCCACATATCACAGATTGCATTAAACGCACACACCACCCGAACTAATTAATTGATTAACTAATCAATCCCACCAAGATCCATCATGATTTTTATTCACGCGTTTTTTTGGGGGGGGTGTATAAAGGTTCAAAGGAGGGGGAATAAGACCCGGTGGTGAAAATGCTATCACGCCCACTCCCTATCAGAAAGTTCGTGGTACGTTTAGGTGGGAGTCCCTTGTTCGAACCAAGGCCGGGTCATCTTGCCTTGCGATTCTTCTTTTTTTTTTATAAAAAAAAAAAGTCGGCACTGGTGTGTTGAGGTTGAAAAGGAGGGGAATAAGACCCGGTGGTGAAAAATGTCATAGGGTCTCTATGGAAGATTTGTGGGAGTCCCTTGTTCGAACCAAGGCCGGGTCATCATCCAGATCGTCGCTGCGATTTCTTCCCCCCATCAGATAAGCACCTGCTGGATTGCTATAAATTGAACATTGAGGAAGGAGGAATACGACCCGGTGGTGAAAAATGTTATCACACCCATTCCCTATAGAGCAGCCAAGTGTTGGTTGAGATGGGAGTCCCTTGTTCGAACCAAGGCTGGGTCATGGCTTGCCAGTAGAATTCGCAGAGTCTTTTTAAAAGAAAATCATGGCCTTCAAGGCTACATATATTTCCGTTGGAGGGAAGGGATGTAAGACCCCGTGGTGAAAATGTTATCACATCCACCCCTGTTGTGAGCGCATTTGGTTACAGGTGGGAGTCTCTTGTTCGAACCAAGGCCGGGTCATCATCACATCCGCGGCATTTTTTTTTTTTTAAATCAACAACTGCAAGGTCATATTATTTGGTGCAAAAAGACCGGTGGTGAAGTGTATCACACCCACTCTCTGTTTGAGGTGTAGTTGTAGACAATTCAAGTGGGAGTCCCTTGTTTGAACCAAGGCCGGGTCATGCCGGGTCATATTGCTTTGCGGATTCTTTTTTATATATTAAAAAAACCAGTAGCTTCAACGCCGGCACTAGTGTATTGAGGTTGCAAAGGAATGAATATAATTATAAGACCCGGTGGTGAAAATGTCATCACACCCACCCCCGTTGGTGCCAGGCGTTCCGTTGATGTGGGAGTCCCTTGTTCGAATCAAGGCCGGGTCATCATCGGATTCACGACGGCATTTTTTTCTTTCTTTAAATCAACAACTGCAAGGTCATATTATTTGGTGCAAAAGAAGGGGAACAAGACCCGGTGGTGAAAATGTTATCACGCCCACTCCTGTTACGCGTCTATTTGGTTACAGGTGGGAGTCTCTTGTTCGAATCAAGGCTGGGTCATAGCTGTCCTGTCAATGACTTTTTTTTAGAAAGATAATCAACAACTGCAAGGTCATATTTTTTGGTGCAAAGAAGGGGAGTAAGACCCGGTGGTGAAAATGTTACCATACCCCCTCCCAGTAACTGCTCCAATTAACTGAAAACAGGAGTCCCTTGTTTGACCCAAGGCCGGGTCATTATGACTTTCTTTTTGGTCAAAACAAACTGGACTGCTATAAAATGAAGAACAAGAAGGGAGGAATAAGACCCAGTGGTGAAAATGCATCACACCCACCCCTGATACTCTGTGGCCAGGATATGTGGGAATCCCCTGTTCGAACCAAGGCTGGGTCATTTCCGGTTTGATTGATTCTTTTTTATCAAAAAGCAATGCTGGACTGCTATAAATTGAACATTGAGGAAGGAGGAATAAGACCCAGTGGTGAAAATGAATCACACCCACCCCCAATACTGTGTATGCTACTTGTCGAAGGTGAGAGTCCCTTGTTCGAACCAAGGCCGGGCAAGGTCATATTTTTTGGTGCAAGAGAAGGGGAATAAGACCCGGTGGTGAAAATGTTATCACACCCGCTCCTGTTATGGGCGCATTCGGGTTCAGGTGGGAGTCCCTTGTTCGAATCAAGGCCGGGTCATCATCAGATCCATGACGGCATTTTTTTTAAAAAAAATCAACAACTGCAAGGTAATATCATTTGGTGCAAAAGAAGGGGAATAAGACCCATGTCGGAAAATCCCAATTTGCCTTATAGGGCCTGACGGACATATCAGGACCTATCAGGTTCGGTGAGGGACCTATCAGGCTGTACCAGGCTGAATATGGCCTGCTCAGGCCATCCTCAGAATGCTCCTGTTTACACAAATAAATATTATATTAACTGTTGCAGCGTAAAAACATGTCCGCGTCCATAGTATCTACCACAACATGAGCGAGAAAGGGAAAAAAAGAGTGGAAGAGACGTCTCACCACTGCACTGGCTCCGAAAGAGATGCTGAGAGCCCAATGTAACTGGGAACAATGTCTGTACTAGGTTGCAGACAAGCTTCCTTCGTTGTGGGATGTTGGTGGAAGAGAAAGTGCGGCGTCGAGCGCAAATAATGAGTGAATGGCGGCAATGGCGACGGCTCCATGCCCCGTTCGGCAGGTGCGGCGAGTACTTGATGTTTAACAGTGGTGGGGGGGGGAGGCTGACCAGCGGTGTGTGGTTGGGTGCGGAGTTCGAATATGCCGAAGACCTGCCGCGATCAAATCACCCTATTTGGGCTGATCTGCGGCGGCGGAATTTCAAACCGTGATGCGTAACTGTTGCTTTGAAATGCAAACAGAATTTCATTGTTAATGTGTGATGGTAGGAGCTACATGTAGTATCTGGATACCAGAGGTGATATTCGGTCATCAGGGGGTATCAGACGATGTAAGGCATCTGAGGATGGGTATGTAGTGAACCACATTTTGTACATGCTAACTTTACTTTAGCCTAGTGGTTATGTTGATGCCCCAGCTTTTTAAATCTCAACCTTAGGTCACCCGTTCGAATCCCGGTGAGTTCATAATTCTAATTCAATTGAGTAACTTCATTAGATTTCAGGGAAGTGGAAGGACCGAATGTTAGTGACTGCTAGAAATCCTAGTAGTCACTACTCGTTTTTCTATTTTCTGGGCTAGTCCTTATAATGTGCGATATGGGGTGGTCAGACCAATCAGGCCCTGTCAGGGTTATCAGGCTGATAGACAGTTATTGGTCACTTTCGAACCTTATGTCCACCCCAGTGGCCTGACGGGCTGACCAGGCAATATTTGGCCATATATTGCCTGGTCACCTAATTTTGGATTTTCCGACACAGTGGTGAAAGTATATCACGCCCACTCCCTGTGATTTTCCTTTGGCACGAGTAGTAAATGGGAGTCCCTTGTTCGAACCAAGGCTGGGTCATCTATCAGTTTGTTTGATCCCTTTTTTCCTCGACGGTAGAGCAGAATCATATAAATTGAAGAATAAACAAGGGGAAATAAAACCCAATGGTGAAAATGAATCACACCCACGCCCACTCTCATCACTTTCATTGAAAGTGGGAGTCCCTTGTTTGAACCAAGGCCGGGTCCTAATCGCATCCGCCGTTTTTTCTTTTTTTAAAAAAAGAAGGAATATGAAGCCACCATGTATTGAGGTGGAAAGAAGGGGAATAAGACCCGGTGGTGAAAATGAATCACACTCACTCCTATTGAACCATTCTTGTAGTGATGTGGGAGTAACTTGTTCGAACCAAGGCCGGGTCATAAGCAACTCAAGTCGGCTTTTTTTTTTAAAAAAAAAGAAGGAATTTGAAGCCACCATGTATAGAGGTTGAAAGAGAGGGAAATAAGACCCCGCGGTGAAAAATGTTATCACACCCACCCCCGTTAATACCAGTCTTTCTTGTGATGCGGGAGTCCCTTGTTCGAACCAAGGCCGGGTCATCTTGCCTAAGGATTCTTTAGACCCGGTGGTGAAATGTTATCACGCCCACATCCTCTTGCGGATTGATTGATTGTTGAGGTGGGAGTCCCTTGTTCGAACCAAGGCTGGGTCATGGTCGTCTTCGGAATTGTTTTTAAAAAGAAGGAATTTGAAGCCAGCATGTATAGAGGTTAAAAAGAAGGGGAATAAGACCCGGTGGTGAAATGTATCACACCCACCCCAATAGTGTGTTGCCTGTGCAAAGCATTTGTGGGGGTCCCTTGTTCGAATCAAGGCTGGGTCTAACCTATTTGGTGATGGATTTTTTAAAAAAATCGACAATTGCAAGGTCATATTATTTGGTGTAAAGAAGGGGAATAAAATCCGGTGGTGAAAATGCTATCACACCTGTTTCTCATGGGAAACATTGACCACTCAAGCGGGAGTCCCTTGTTCGAAGCAAGGCCGGGTCATTTTTTTAAAAAATCAACAGCTGCAAGGTCATATTATTTGGTCCAAAAGAAAGGGAACAAGACCTGGTGGTGAATATGTATCACCCCCACCCCCAATAGTGTGTTGCTACTGGTCGGAGGTGAGAATCCCTTGTTCAAACCAAGGCGGGGTCATGTTCCAGTTTGTTTGGTCCCTTTTTTCCTCAACGGTGGAGCAGAATCATATAAATTGAAGAATAAACAAGGGAAATAAGACCCAGTGGTGAAAATGAATCACATCCACCCGAATTGACTTCTTGTTAACGATGGAGGTGGGAGTCCCTTGTTCGAACCAAGGCCAGTTCATGATTCCCTTCTGCGGCATTTAAAAAAAAAAAAATCAACATCAAGGTCATATTATTTGGTGCAAAGAAGGGGAATAAGACCCGGTGGTGAAAAATGCATCACACCCACTGCCCATAGTTTCTTCCCTTCGTAATGATGTAGGAGTCCCTTGTTCGAACCAAGGCCGGGTCATGGATCATTATCGGTTGCATTTTTTTTAATTTTTAAAATCAACCTGAAGGCAGCATGTATTGAGGTTAAAGTGGGGGGAAGAAGACCTGGTGGTGAAAAATGTTATCACACCCACTGTCCATAATTGTTTCATCGCTTTCATCGAAAGTGGGAGTCCCTTGTTCGAAGCAAGGCCGGGTCATTATGCCTTCACTTCTGTTTGTTTTTTTAAATTCCTGGTTCCGTAGGTAACCAGGTTTCCAACCTGTAAAAGTCTGTCGCCTTCGATAATCGGCCGATCCTGGCCTCTGATTGGCTGCAGAAGGCCCATTTACACGATTTCATTGGCTCATCTTTTCATTAAAATCATATTTCCACACTGTTGTCCCATCATGGGAACTTCCGCGCGGGCCGTTTTGTTTCCGTGTCCCCATGACCTTTTCAATATTACTGCCATCTGTACTGCATTTTGTGCCCATTCAGATAAGAACCATAAATGAGCCCAGAAGATTTGCAAGAAATAAAGTTTCAAACCATAAACAATTGACTAAGTTATGGGTAATTCTTTGAAAAAGTCCCAAAACATAAATTTTCTGACCGTGCCTTCGGTACTGCCAACGGCTGTAACCAGAGTTGCTAGAGTTTCATGACCTTCATAAGGAGGTGGGCTCTCTGTCATAATTTATTGCGGCCAGAATTCCGCTTAAATTATTGGAGTCTTATCACCCGGGAAAAAAAGTCCTGAGGGATTAAGAAAGTGTGCATCTGACCAGTCCAGGTGTTTGGGGATTCAGCACTTTATTTAAACACTAGGAGTCGTGATTTACACCCAGTAATGAAGATTGCTTTTGCGCGCCAGCTCATCAATCGAAGAATCCAGGTAGCACAAGTGAACTCAGTATGTCAAGTAAACTATTTGACGGACTCATCAAAGGCATCACTCAAGCTTTAGATATGGTGCAAGTGAGGAACAGTAGGCTCATGCCCATATGGAAGAACCTTTGTGTTCCACACGGTTCCCAGTCGATATTGAAGGTAATCCAGGGCGCACACCCATCCAATCTTCAATTTCGAAAGTTTTGTACCGCTGAACGTTTTAGCCCAATTGGATATGTGACAAGATTTCCAGCCCCCGAACAGCACTGCAGTACTCCCAATATACATCTCAGGCTCAATTAAATAAAGGGCCGTGGGGCCAACCAACATCTTGGAAGAAATTAACACTTACAGTGCTAGTCACAGTAAAAACTGTCCCCGCACTGAGGGCAACAGGAAACTATTTTAAAAAAAGTTATTCAACTTCAACCAGATCCTTTCATGAAATGCACAACGAAGGCCCCTTAATTCAATCCTGCCTTGCCAAACCGAAAACCGGATTCGCCCTTTAAACCTCGATTACCGTTCCTGCGAAAGGAGCATTTTATATTCAGCGGCATGTTCTTTTTTTCTTTCAAAAACCCAGAGTTTAATTGCTATTCAATTGAGAACTTGGACGTAGTAGAGGCTGAGAAAACTAGCCTTGATCCCTGTGACTTATATATTTACTTCCCGGAGGTCAGATGCAGAGAAAAATGCATACAAGAATATAGCACTCACCCGGAGGAACCAGGTGTGCCCGGAGAGCAGTGCTATAAACAACTGCAAGGTCATATTATTCGGTGAAAAAGGAGGGGAATAAGACCCGGTGGTGAAATTGTTATCACACCCACCCCCCTTGATACCATTCTATACAGTTGTGGGAGTCTCTTGTTCGAACCAAGGCCGGGTCATAGTTTCTGTATCAATTAAAAAATAAAAATAAAAATCACCACCTGCAAGGTCATATTATATTTGGTGCAAAAAAAGGGGAATAAGGGATGTGTATCACACCCACCCCCGTTAATCCCATTGATGCTCTGATATGGGAGTCCCTTGTTCGAACCAAGGCTGGGTCATTTCCGACTTCCACGTGACTTTTTCTTTTTGGGGGGTGAAAAGGCGCAACTGCACCACTATAAATTGAAGAACGAGGAAGGGGGAATAAGACCCGGTGGTAAAAGATGCATCACACCCACCCCCATTTATACCATGCATTTCTTTGATGTGGGAATCCCTTGTTCGAACCAAGGCTGGGTCATTACCAATTCCTGTTGGTGTTTTTTTATTATTAAAAAATCAACAACTAAGGTCATATTATTTCGGTTGAGAGGAATGAACATAAGACCTGGTGGTGAAAATAAATACCCACCCCCGTTTGTACCATCAGTTCCATTGAAATTGGGAATCCCTTGTTCAAACCAAGGCCGGGTCATCATCCCATTGGCTGCATCTTTTTTATAAAAATCAACAACTGCAAGCAAGGTCATATTATCTGGTGCAAAAAAAGGGGAATAAGACCCGGGGGTGAAGTATATCATACCCACTCCCTGTCTGCTTTTCCTGCCGTATTCAGTGGGGATCCCTTGTTCGAACAAGGCTGGGTCATCATTTTTTTCTATTTGTTGATTTTCTCTTTCAAATCTGCAGCTTTAAGCCGGCACTGGTGTACTGAGTTTGAAAGATGTAGGAATAAGACCCGGTGGTGAAAATGTACCACACCCGTTCTCTATGCAAGAATTGGCTGTCCGTTTAGGTGGGAGTCCCTTGTTCGAACCAAGGCTGGGTCATCATCCAATTCCTCTCGTCTTTTTTATCAACATCGGCACCTTCAAGCCTGCATGTATTTCGGTTGAAAAAGAGGGGAATAAGACCTGGTGGTGAAAATGTTATCACACCCACTCCCTGTAGCTCCGCTACTGTCATCAGAAGTGAGAGTTCCTTGTTCGAACCAAGGCCGGGTACCCTTCCGGTTCATTTGATCCCTTTTTGTCAAAAGGCAAACTGGATTTCTACAAATTGAAGAACAAAGAAGGAATGAATAAGACCCAGTGGTGAAATGATATCACGTCCACTCCCTGTAATCTTACTTTGACACGGGTAGTAAATGGGAGTCCCTTGTTCGAATCAAGGCTGGGTCATATTTCTATCATGCGCGCCAGTTTTCTTTTAGAAAAAATCAACAACTGCAAAGTCATATTATGTGGCGCAAAAGGAGGGAAACAAGACCCGGTGGTAATGTTATCACACCCATTTTGCATCGTTGTGCCAAGGCCATTATTATCAGAGTCCCTTGTTCAAACCAAGGCTGGGCATCATCACATCCGCGGCATTTTCTTTTTTTTAAAATCAACAACTGCAAGGTCATATTATTTGGTGCAATAGAAGGGAAACAAGACCCGGTGGTGAAAATGTTATCACACCCACTCCTTGTTGCACATGGTGGGCGCTTCAGCAGGTGGGAGTCCCTTGTTCAAACCAAGGCCGGGTCATATGCCCCGATCAATGTGTATTTTTATTTTAAAATGAAGGCCTTCAACCCTGCATTTATTTTGGTTGAAAGAGAGGGAACAAGACCCAGTGGTGGAATGTTTTCACACCCACCACCTATGAAAGTGTTGCCTGTCGGTTAAGGTGGGAATCCCTTGTTCGAATCAAGGCTGGGTCATTCTAATTTTGTTTCACTCACCTCATCTATTATTTCAAAAAATAAAACTAGCTTGTTTTCAGGAGCATTTGTCCAGGCTGGAGATGGAAGGAATAAGACCTGGTGGTGAAAAATGTCGTCACACCCACCGCCCATTAACCACTGCTTGGCATTCGAGGTGGGAGTCCCTTTCTTGAGCCAAGGCTGGGTCATAGTTTCCCTGTCAATCACTTGTAAAAAAAAATCAAGGCCTTCGAGTCCGCATGTATTTCGGTTGAAAAGGAGTGGAACAAGACCCGGTGGTGAACTGTATCACACCCACCCCCAATACCGCTGTATTGCTACTCGTCGGAGGTGGGAGTCCCTTGTTCGAGTCAAGGCCGGGTCATGATCTAATTGCTCTCATCCTTTTTTGCTGCTGGATTGCTATAAATTAAAGAACGAGGAAAGTAGGAATAAGACCTGGTGGTGAAAAATGCATCACGCCCACTCCCAATAGCTTTGCTCGCCGGACATTTGTGGGAGTCCCTTGTTCGAATCAAGGCTGGGTCCTTCGCCAATTTGACGCACTCTTTTTTTAAATCAACCTGAAGGCAGCATGTATTGAGGTTTGAAGGGAAGGGCAACAAGACCCAGTGGTGAAAATGTCATCACACCCACCCCCAATACCGTGTTGCTAATCATCGGAGGTGAGAGTCCCTTGTTTGAACCAAGGCTGGGTCATAGCTTTCCTGTCAATCACTTTTAAAAAAAAAAAAATCAAGACCTTCGAGTCCGCATGTATTTCGGTTGAAAAGGAGGGAAACAAGGCCCGGTGGTGAAAAATGTCATTACACCCACCCCCAATACTGTGTTGATCATTGTCGGAGGTGGGAATCCCTTGGTCGAACCAAGGCTGGGCCATAGTTCCCTGTCAATGACTTTTTTTTTAAAAAAAAACAAGGCTTCAAGGCGGTATGTATCAAAGTTGAAAGTGAGGGGAGTAAGACCCGGTGGTGAAATGTTATCACACCCACTCCCAGTGACTGCTCCACTTAATCGAAAGTGGGAGTCCCTTGTTCGAACCAAGGCTGGGTCATCATCCAAATCCTGTCGTCTTTTTATCAATAAGGCAAACAGGACTGCTATAAATTGAAGAACAAGTAAAACAGGAATAAGACCCGGGGGTGAAATGTTATCATACCCACCCCTGTTGGTACCATTCTTTGTAGTGATGTGGGGGTCCCCTGTTCGAACCAAGTCTGGGTCATGGACGGCACAGTACAAGCATTTTGTCATTTGTCCCTTTGGATCAGAATGGCAAACCACTTTGCTATAAAATTAAAGAATGATGGAGGAACAAGACCCGGTGGTGAAAATGTTATCATGCCCACCCCCGATACCACTGCGTTGCTACACGTCGGAGGTGTGAGTCCCTTGTTCAAATCAAGGCCGGGTCATAGCTAGTCGCCAATGTGGTTGTTTTTTCAATATGCGCCTTCAACCCCACATTTATTTTGGATGAAAGAGGTAGGAATAAGACCCAGTGGTGAAAATGTTATCACACCCACCGCCTAGGAAAGTGTTACGTGTGGGTTAAGGTGGGAATCCCTTGTTCGAATCAAGGCTGGGTCATGGCTGGCTGGATTCACAGAGTCTTTTTAACAAAAACCAGCAGCTTCAACCCCGTGGCATTTATTTTGGTTGGAAGAGAGGGAACAAGACCCGGTGGTGAAATGTTATCACACCCACTCTCTCTAGAACAATTTGAAACTGTAAGTTCAGGCGGGAGTCCCTTGTTTGAATCAAGGCTGGGTTACTCCGCAATTCCTCTCATCCTGTTTTTCTATTTAGAGAATTTTGAATCGGCAACTCATTTGAGCGGCATGTATTTCGGTTGAAGAGAAGGGGAATAAGACCCAGTGGTGAAAATGCCTCACGCCCGCTTTGAATCATCCTGCCAAATAGCTATTATTATGGGAGTCCCTTGTTCGAACCAAGACTGGGTCATAGCTTCCCTGTCATTAACTTTTTTTTTTTTTAAATTCAAGGCCTTCAACCCAGCATTTATTCCGGTGAAAGGGAGGGGAACGGAACCGTCCATGACGGGCCAGGTACGAGAATCTTGTTTAAACCAAGACTGGGCCTTAAGGCCAGCATGTATAGAGGTGGAAGGAAAGGTAAATACAACCCGGTGGTGAAAATGTATCACTCCCATTGCTCATAATTGTTTCCCTGAAAGTAGAAGTTGGAGTCCCTTTTTCAAACCAAGGCTGGGTCATCAACTTCTTCCATTCCAATTTCTTTTTCAAGCAGCAAAATGAAGCCGGCATGTATAGAAGTATAAAGGGAGGGGAATAAGCCCCGGTGGTGAAAATGTTATCACACCCACTCCCAATTGACTTCTTCTTAACGATGGAGGTGGGAGTTCCTTGTTCGAACCAAGGCTGGGTCGTAGCTTCCCTGTCAAATGACTTTTTTATTTAAAAAAATCAAGGCCTTCAACCCCGCATGTATTTCGATTGAAAAGAAGGGGAATAATACCCAGTGGTGAAAATGTTATCACACCCACTTTGCATTGTCGTGACAAGGGCATTATTATGGGAGTCCTTTGTTCGAACCAAGGCCGGATCATCATCACATCCACGGTATTTTTTTAAAAAATATATCAATAACTGCAAGGTCATACTATTTGGTGCGAAAGAAGGGGAATAAGACCCGGTGGTGAAAAGTGCATCACACCCACCCCCAATACCGTGTTGCTTGTGTAAAGCATTTGTGGGAGTCCCTTGTTCGAACCAGGGCCGGATCATTATGGCTTTTTTTGGATCAAAAAAAACTGGACTGCTATAAATTGAAGGACAAGGAGGGAGGAATAAGACCTAGTGGTGAAAACATTTTCACACCCACTCCCAATTGCTGTTCAACCAACTATTGTATGGGGAAGTCCCTTGTTCGAACCAATGCCGGGTTGTCGGACATATCGGCTGGATTAATATTTAGTGTATTTTTTTCAATCGATTCAACATGGGCCTATCGGCGCTCTGGACATAAATAGTGTCAAAATTCTATGCTCCTGGAGTAGTACTACATCTCCCAATACGATGTACTGGAACCTCGCCTTACGGATCATCCTGCAGATGGGGTGATTTTGTGATCTCTCCTCTGCCCTGTTTCTCAGGAGACAGGTGCTTAGTTGTGGTCTGGCTCTTATGAGGCAGATCTTCCAACTGTGGCAGTCGCACGCATCTGCAAAGGGATGACTTACAACAATATTCTTGAGACTGGTGGACACTGGGGATTTTTACCTGGGAGGAGAGTCAAGCTCCTCCTGTACACCTGTGTACTCCGCTTGTGGTCAGGTCCCACGAGGTTCTTAAACCAGATGTCCTGCCATACAAGCAGTCTGCCAGTCTCAGGTTTAAGCGACTTGTGATGATATGCCCCCTGGAATGATGTTGCGTTCGGTTGGCTTCTTGTAGTTTCTTGGACAGATAACCACCCTTACAATACTGCTTTTTAGTCTTCTGTAAACTCATTGTTCACTTGTTGGACCGCGCGAGTATAATATATCCCCCCCAAAAAAAAAACAAAAAACAAAAAACCTGTTAAATTTAGGCCTTCTGACCCAAGGAAGGGTTGCCAAAGCTTTGGTAATATTATTTTTACTGTTCTAAATCTGGGTTTTATTCCCTTCCCTTCAAACGAAATAAATGCCACTCAAATGAGTTGTCGACTCAAAATTCTTTAAATAAAAAACAGGACGAGAGGAAATGCGAAGTGACCCAACCTTGATTCCAACAAGGGACTCCCACAGATGAAAGATAGCACCGTGTGAAACAGGGGCGGGCGTGATGCATTTTCACCACCGGGTTTTATTTCCCTTTGCTTACTCTTCATTTATACGATTTGTTCTGCTCTATTGGCGAGGGGAAAAAGAGACCAAACAAACTGGAAAATGACCCAGCCTTGGTTCGAACAAGGGACTCCCACTTTCGATCAATTGGAACAATTACAGGGAGTGGGTGTGATACATTTTCACCACCGGGTCTTATTCCTACTTTCCTCGTTCTTCAGTTTATAGCAGCTGGATGGGGGGAAAAATCGAAACCACCATTTGGATGATGAGGTTCGAACAAGGGACCCCCACTGAACACGGGTAGCCTGCCGTAACTCATATTTGAAATTATAGCAGCCATTTTCCGAAGAACTGGCCCTGGCTTAATAGGACGACTCATCAGACTTTTCGGGTGTTATCGGATCATCTCGGGTTTGTCCGGCAGAATCCCATTCACCTCGTTGTATGTTCTTTTTTCGTTGCTTTTTCGTCTTCTTTTTTCTTTGAAGACGATTCTGGTTTGGTCTGACTAGGAGACTACATTGCATGAACCTTTGAAATATTTGAGGCGCATTCTGGCAAGGTTCCGGCAACTTGCCATTGACTTGTCACCTTGATTCGGCAGTTATGAAGTTGGGCCAGTCCAGTATTCACAGTTTGGTGAGCCACCACTCGTGCACCACTACTTGTTCGATACACCTGAGGCGGTGTGGGGGGGGGTTAGATCGCACATATTTGGTAATTGTCCGACCATCAACTTCCATCATTGGCTCGAGTTGAGTAGCAACCGGTTTCTCAAAGCAAAAGAAGGATGCAAAATCTCACGCATGTTTGACACATTCAAAAGCACCAAAGATGCATGGCTGACTATACCACTTGAGACTACCGAGAGCCCAACACGCACCGCTATATTTGAACAGTTGATTCCGTTTCAATTGAATCTTCATCTTCCCGCGGTGTGTTCTTCAAACTTGAATCATGATATCATTCACAGCATTGATATCCGGTCTGTAATATATAGCACAAAACACCCACCAAACCGACTCCATGTCTTCTTCATCACAGTCCCTTCCTGCGGCCCCAATAATTAAGGCATATGCTCAGGCCATACGCCCCGCACTCTCCTTCATCCTCATTTCCACCGTCTTCGGCGCAATGCTCCTACCGCTGTTGATCTTGCTGTTTGCACTGTCGACACCAAAAACGAGACGCAGGCCGATCTTCATTCTCAATGTCCTTTCCGTCAGTCTAGGTATCACAACCGCCGCACTTTCTGCGCACCTCGCAGTAAGTTGAGATTAGAATACATACTTGCAGCATTTAGTGCGAACCTAACGTCTACTACTTAGATAATGGTCATATTATTCCCGTTCGTACAGGGTAATATCACTGAACGTGAGTAACCTAAATGCCCTTTGACTCTCTACCGACATCAGACAGACATCATTTATACCGTCCTGGACTTGTGGACCCCCTGGATCGCGGAGGCTGTCCTCGTTGTGCGCATTGCGGCCGTCTTTCCTCGCCGAAAATGGCCACAATTGCTTGCCTTCCCGATCGCGGTTAAAGCAGCACGAATAGTTTTCACGGTGATTTTCTTTATCAGATGGGGGAAGATGATTCTCCGTGGCTTATCAAATGAGTACGACATCCTGGGCACCTTTCGCATGGAGTTCAAGGTCCTGTTTTGCTTGGAGCTATTAGACAACACGTACGTGCGCAGCTGCTTGCCCTTAGCGTCTTTTGTATCTGAACAGTTGAAGCTACGCTTCATTCATTTTTCTCTGGAGGCTAAATCATCAGCGTCGCGACAGCACCTCAATTGCTCGCCTTAGCTCCAGTAATTCAAATGGTGAGTTGCACTGAGAAATTATTCGCGGTCCATTATCCACGTCACTGTACAGAAACAAGTTACACAAGAAAGCTGCAGACGTTATTCTGGATTGCGAGTACCAACTTCATATTTCCTCGTGAGTGTATACCCATGACAATCAAGTCCGTTGGGACCAAACGCTTCAGTTGTTTTCGGGGTCGCCCAAATTATCACTGTGTTCGTCGGAAACGACATGACTGTGCCTGTGGGCATCAACATGATCAACATCTCTGTTGCAATTATATCCACCGTCTTCGCCACAAGTACGTTGCTCATTGTTACCGCTGGCGCCTTCGCTCAGATCAATCCACTCATGCTTCTCTAAATAGTCTGGTCTTGCACCTTATCCTTCAAGGATGCTATTAGCCAAACCGACTCCGTTCCTTCTCCATCCACGCGTATCGTCTTTCGCACGGGCGGGATGTCAGTGGGAACGACCTCATCTGATACGTCCAACAATGCAAAAGAAGTGAATTGGGGCAAATCATATACGGCGGCCTGATACTGAGCTGACGGCTATTTGTGTCTGCGACATGAAAAAAAAGATATGATCAAGTTGAAGGCACTTGTCTGCGGTGTAAACTGTGTTGAAAACTCCTGGCCACTTATCAGCGTGAACCCTATGGACTCCAGGCATTCTATTCCTCGCTCCTCCTCGCGTTGAAATTATATTCGATATTTTTGATAGTGCCATCTTGATGTCGATCGGCGTGAACCCTGAACCCTGAACCAATCCACAGCTCCTCGAGGCGCGCGCACGCAGGGAATACTGCGACAGAAATGGTCTCCCGCAGGCCTTCCGCATCCTGGGCGAACATCGCTGCCAGCTCCTGGCGGCCGGGGCCCATGTACTCGCACCCACACCGCAAGGGGTTGAAGCCCACGTTTAGCGCCGTGAGGTCCATGATACCGAGGATCTCAAGAGCTGAGAATGACGCAAACACGGGGAAGAGTTTCTGAATGGAGAATATATCGGCGAAGAGGGTTTAAAATCAGCCGGGGAGCTGGATGTGCGCACGTACATAGATATCGGTAGAATAGTCGGCAATGTGGCCCTCGAGCACCAGCGTCGATGCATGTGGAACGGCCTCACGTACCGCTGTCCAGGAATGAAGATGAAAAACTGAATATAGTGGAAAATCAGGAACCTCTGAGATCAGCAATACACCACTGGTGGTTCATTTCCAGATGTTTGATCTTATCCGACCCGTAGAGAATTTTGTGTGTAGCAAGTGTTGATAGCACATTATGCGTTTCTGGATCCCAACAGCTCCTGCCTAGGTTGGAGATGTGCTCCACATTCGGGCAGAGATGGAGTAGAATGTGACCGGCGGAGCCAGAGAGACGTTTTAGGGACAGCATTTGCTGGTTTGCCAACGCCAGTGCACTGTGGAAGCCCTCTTCGAACCGGGCTTGCTTCGACTTGTCGATGGAGCATGCTATTGACGTAACGTGAGTGAGGCCGGTGAGAATGGCGGCGAGCTGCTCAGGCAGTGTCCCGATGAAGACACCGTGGTCGCCCTCTCCGTATCGGTAGGCGAGTTGAATGTTGCACGTGCTGGGGTTCAACTGTAAGGGAAAGTATAACGCCGAAATCATGAATATGTCCTCACCGGACAAACGGTGCCCAGTAGGCATTCCATGTCTTCATTCTCGCGGCTGCGCGCTCCCAGGGCTTGTTACCGATGACTATGAGGTTGAGATTCCTGACCAGATGAGGCATCGCGAGTGCGCGCATGCGCTTGTCTGTTCTTGACAATGGTTCAAGCGAGGTAGGATCCTTCGAAATTGGACATTAGACACCATATCTAAATCTAGATGGATACGAGTTTAATTCAAGCGCCCACCTCTTCACGTTCCTTAAGCAAATATACCATTTCGCATACGATATCCAGCACATCGTCATGGAGAATTCCAAGGCTGGTGGTCGAGGAAGGGATCATGGTCGTAGGTGCTTACACTTGGGAATAGAACGACTGCTATGTGCGGCAGAGGACATAGTGCTGTGAGGAATCATAATATCTGGGCGCCAAAATGGGGCCAATACAAATATGGCTGGCTATGGGGTGGTAATTATATATGCTGTATGCGGATATTTCTACGCACCTACTGAAGGGAACAGGTAGTCATTAGAGAGCGTGGTCAAGGGCGGGGACGATGCCTAGCTTCTTCTGATGGGGATGGGATTGCGAATTTCCTTGCCCCCACATCGAGAATTGAGCGCCCAGTCGGTTGGTGATGACGGAATGTAGGTGCGAACATTTTAATTATAACCAGAATGTTGGATTCGCGAGATAAGTATAGTCCCAGTGAAGATGCAGTTGACAGATAGACGCGCTCAGAGCATAAGATCCATACCAATAGCTGGGCAATGTCTTGGCCCAGCGGTGCTCCGAACCGTCAAGAACTGAGAAGAGCCATATATCAGCTGAGGCGTCGGGCTGCGGGAAATCCAGCATTCCCAATGCTTCTGATTCCTACGTGTGTTGAGCCATTTCCGGTTAAATCGGGGAAGTGCTGTCAAAGAGTGGCGCCAGAGCAAGCTAGGCGCCTGAGAGTCAAAGAATATTCGCGTAGAGGAGTGCTTCAAAGTCGGTGATGAGATTAGTTTATTTTAGCATGCCGGACATGACATTCTGGGGCCCAATCTCAACTCTGGACACTGGACACCTGTGTCTGAGCTCACGCCAGCATGGGTCAAGCAAACGAGAGAGTTCGAAGTTCCATCTTTAAAATATTTTGGCTGTGATCGTGGCACCAAAGATACGATTAGAACGAGATATCCGCAGGTTAACGGCACTCCGCGGATCCTGCACTGAACGCTTGTCAGCGTCGGATGCCCTCCGTCGCTGGCACGGCAAGACGGCCAACAAAGACAAGAGTTTGCTGACTGTTTAAGGTTTGATTGTCGCAATCAGTACATATCAATGATTATTCACGATATGTGCTGTGATCCCTCCTTTCTCTTTGCACCATCGGTCGCGGCCCGCGTCCAGCTTTCCTCCTCAAGCCTTCTTGACCTACATGAATACAGCGCTGTCAAATGCCCCTCCCACCAGAATTTGTTGGTGTGATCATCAAGAATTTGCAGTTCTATTGAATACCTGCTTGAAACGGTGGATGGTCTTCTTCGGACCCAGAGGTACAAATTTCAAGGAATCCAAGGTAGAATATTTAAGTTATCAAAATGCGGAGACCATAATTTTTTATTGGTTTTTTTTTGAATTCATATTGATTTTTTGTTAGAAGCCTTCTTCGCCAGGAAATGCGCTTCCGAGTCAGCCTGATACAACCTAGACCTAGACAAGCTCATACTAATTGAACCATGAGGTTATCTGGT